CAGCCTGCCGTGGGGGGCCGAGGTCTGGGCCAGGCTTGGTGGGAATTCACTCCCCCTCGACCAGGCAGCCGGGCCGGGGGTGAGGGGCCGGCAGAGGCCTCCAGGGCTGCCTTCGGGCCGGGCGGGTAGGTGGGTGCGTGAGATGCGCCAGATGCAGCCCATCACCCCCCAGCTCCGGCAGTTTGTGGGTTTCCTGAGCCGGGGGGGTTTCTTTTCCTGAGCCAGGGGTGGCATCGTGGGGTCCGCTGCCTCCTGGTTGGTTTCTGTGAGTTTCTTCCCCAAGTTTTCCCTGGTTTCTTCCCCAAGTTTTCAGTCCCAGCGGTGTCCCCTGTGGCAGAATTTCACAGCTGTAGGCTGAGGACTGACTACTCATCTTCCCTCCGAACTCCCACCAGCTGCTCTCATTTACTGCTCCCCAGCGCTTACAGAAGATGTATTGAATATTCATTCCTTGTTCGTTTTTTCCAAGTCGCTCGTGAGTTTATAGGCCCCCGCCCTCGGCCCTTTTTTTGTTTATTTCTAGCCTCTTCCAGTATACAGTGTCAATCGTATTTATCTCCTTCCTTTGTACATTTTCTCTGTTGCTTTTGTGTTGGGGGAAGCAGCCAGCGCTGCACGCGCTATCCCAGATGCTGTCGTTGATTTATATGGTGGCATAATGTTGTTTTCTCTCCCTTTCCCAATAGATGTCTTTGCCTTTTTGTCTAAGCACTGAGTTCTATTAAAACATCATTTGGCTGACGGCCTTCTGTAATCTCTCGGTGTCATGAGGTCCTCTTCACCATTTGTCTCTTTGCTACATCAGTACTTGAAGAGCATGGTTCCTGCTGCCTCTCTTCTAGTCTTCTCATTTTTACGAGGTGTTTATCTGAGAGAAAACCTTCTCCCCCAGCCTGTGGTGGCTCAGTGTCTGCAGAAACCTTTCAGAGCACTGTAGCTGAATGTGTTCAGAACACCCAAGCAGATTGTACTTACTGGATCTCCCTCACCTGTTTGCTTGCTGTCACCTTAGAAAAAATCTTTATAATAGATTCCTCAATGTGTTTGTTTTTTCTCAACATACGTTTGTTTGGGGTTGGTTTTAGGTATCTGCCTAATCTTTGTTGCAATTTCTATCAGTTTGCCTGGAACAGGTGTCAGACATACTGTTCAGATCCCTACTGAAGTGCTCTCAAAACTTGGTATTTGCCACCTTCCAGTTATTTTGTATTAAGGCCGTGTTAGCGAAGTGACACACTGCACGTCGTGATTCAGTTACTGAAGTGAGAGATTCAGTTCATGCTGAAGGGAGTTTTTGAACCCTTGGGTGAATATTGCCTAATCTTGGTGATTTGTTGTTGTTTATTTTGTTGGCTTCCACAGTTCTTACAGACAGTTTGGTTTGAGAGACATCCTCAGCTCTGTTCTTCATAGAGATTTCTGCCCTGGTGGCCCCTCACCCTCCAAATTCTTCCGTTAGGAAGAGGAATGCACAGATTTGTCTCTTTGCCCTTGTCTTCCTTGAATGGCTCTTCCGTATCTTGTTTTTCAACTGGCCCTGCAGCTTCTGTCAGACAAGAACATGTATTACACAGTCTTCCTCATGAATGCTCTTTATTTCTCTGATTCAGGAGAGTCTGTCCTCATTGTCAAAAGATTCTCTGGCTGATAAATAGCAACAAGACCAAGCCCGACAAGCAGTACTGAAGGGGGAGCAAGGAGGCTGTAGCACAGGACACCCTGGGCTCAACAGGATGTATTCATGCGGATGCAGTAGTGCCATGCTGCGGATGGTCAGCTCTTGGGACAGTAACGACAGTTATCATAATTAAAATCGATTACTTTGCTTTTCTACCCTGTTCCCCAGCACAGTGCATCAGGGCAGTATTCCCCAGCTTCCAAAGAACTTTCTCAGAGTATAAAGAGTAAGCTTCTCCTCTGACTGTCCTTGGAAAATCCCGCTTTTCTATTCTTCTGATTATTCCTTTATTTAGGGTTTTGGGGTGATGCTTATCTCTGTAATGACAAATCACAGTATAGCAGGGATTTCTTGGAGTGGAGCTGCTGGCTTGAACAGCCTCCTGTTCACTGCAGCTCGTTCTAGCACTGCTTCAGTTGTGTTGGTGCAACTCCTGTTGAGCAGTGGGATGTGCCGAATCTGAGTTAAAAACAAGCTAGCCAAGTCAGCCTTCCTCCCGCCTTGTCGTGAAACCTGCATCAGTTTTCTCCTCCAGCTCTGCCTAGCGCTGCACAGAGCTGCCCTGGCACAGCCCAGGGAACGGGCTGTGGTTGGGTGGAAAACGCTGTAGCGATTCTTCAGGAGCAGGATTGCGATGATGCTTTCTGGCTGCCGAGGGCCGAGCTTTCTAGAAAGTCTACGACGTTTTTAATTTGCTCTGCTGCATGCTTTAAACTTTCTGGTCGTTTGCCAAAGAATGGGTACATCTGTGCCTGCTGTATATTTGCCTTTAGCTGGTACAGCGTGCGGCTGCTGATGGGTTGTACAGGCCCACCCTGCGCTCTCAGCAGGGTCTCTGCCAACGGCAGCGCACCCCGGGTGGGTAGCGCTGGGGGTGGAAAGCAGCTGTTCTACAGTGATTTTTAACTGTATGGTTGAACAGATTCCTTGTACCTGGCTCATATGCTGAGCATCTTCCAATCCCTGCTGTGAATGAGGTGGCACAGCTCCAGGTCCCAGCTGTCTTTGTGATGTGTGCCAGTCTCGTTTATCAGTCATTTAGTATGGTGATGAGTCTGGGTTCTGTGTAGAAATAACAGTATATGAGCATGTGGCTGGTGGCATGTCTTTGTTCTTGGGTGAAAATTAGGTCCATGTGGGCAAACTTATAATTTTGTAGTTTTTGTAAGTTATCTGCAATTACCATGTCATCGTTTTGTTTAACTTTTTGCTGGGAAATGATTGCAAACAAGCAAATTTGTCATGCATATTGCCAGTTTAGTGCACCCGAAGTACAGTAACAGCTTTGGCACGTAACTTAGATACCACATGAAGCTCAAGGTCAGTGTCCTAAAAACAAACCTCCCAGGCATTACTCATCCTGGCAGAGTGCAGCAGCCTGCAATAGCCACCACCGGTTTGTAACTTGTTCAGCAAAGATGAGAGCGTGATGCAAATCAAATAAACTAATATCCTGACCCCCAGCTGTTAACAGATGTAGTATGCTGTGAGTATGCTCTGATTAATCAGTTATTATCTCAAACCCTTCGAGTCCCATGTTGAGCACCAAAAAGGACTGTCGAGGTTTAGCCCCAGCTAGCAAATAAGCAGCACAGAGCTGGTTTGGTGGTGGCACATAAACCATAGCGTGTCTGTTGCCATTTCAGTCCTCAGCTGCCAGCTGAGGTGGGATGCTCCACTTCTTGGTATTTTTGTCTGTTCTTCCCTGCCTTTAGATTCTACCATCTTCACCAATTTCTACTTTCTGCTGTTTGAGGGTTGCGTTCTCCCTTCTGACCATCTTTTTGTGTGTTTGGAGAGGGCCATGAAAGGTATTGCTGAAGCATCTCATTGAAACCTTAGTGAGGCACAAATGGGAACTTGGATCTGGGAGCTTTCTGGAGCCCACTGCTGCACGTGGCGCTGGGCTCCAGAAAACTCCCAGCACAGGTCTCTGGTGGCATCCACCCTTCTCCATGTCCAGTCATCTGGTTCAGGGATCAGGGGTTTTGGTGTGGAGCCTTGCTCTCCCGGGCACTACTGCCAGGAGAGCCTCTTTTCCCTTGGTCCTGGCTATCCCTGGTCTCTCTTGCATTCCAGGTGGAACCAGGTGTGCAACCGCTGGGACCTGCCTCTGAAGGACATGAAAATTTCCCTCCCCAAAATGCAGTAGCAGACCAAGAGAGCAGCCAACAGATAGAGCAGCTGGTGAGTTCTGACCCTGATTTTGGGTAAAGGAGTGCTATACGTTTTCTTGGGGTTTTCCCCCATGGAATCCAGGCAGAGATTTTGATGACTGAAGTCTTTTTAGGTGCAGCTGCTGTGGAGAAGTGGGAAGCTTGGGGAGTCCATGGGAAAACACAGGCTGTCTGCATGGAGAGTGTTGCTGGGTGGCAGCTCCAGGCAGGTGGGGGAATATGTCATGCTAAAATAATAGGGAAATACACCAGTAGATTCTGTGCTGTGTTTGATTTAGTGTTATTTGAAGTGCGAGCAGGTATGACTGACCTGGGACAGGTGTTATGTGAGAAATATGTCCCTTGTGAATTCTTGTGAATTCTAGGACAGTTCGCGGTGAGGCTCAGCAGTTCTTATCTATCCGGGGAACCAGGAGTGGTAGCAGGTAGCAACAGATAAAGATACATAACCAGGGGATGTCTGAACTCTGGTAGATGTCCTTTGGATTAAAATAGGAACTAAGCTAGCATAACTAGTATTTCAAGCTGAATATTTTGCACAGCTCTGTCCTTCTGTTCCTTGTGTCCTGTCCTCTGTCCTGTCCTATACAAATAGGAACAGTTTGTGCAAATGGGAGAGAAAAGACTGCTTCCAGAAGATGAAAGGCTTGGAAGATAAATAGGTGTTCCACTTGAAAATTCTTTTGGTTCTACTACCTTCCAAAAAAACCATCTCCCTTGGTTTCTATATTGTTTGTGTTTGCACAAAAAATTTTTTTAAGAAAAAAAATAGCTAATACAGCACTGGATCTGAGAAACTGGGCTTGAATTTTTTTATGCATTGTAAGAATGTGGACTTGCTGATCTGCTTGTGCTTGTTTCGTGCAGGAATTTGAACTCAAGAAAAAGCGCAAAAAATGTGAAAACCTTGAGCATGAAGTGAGGAAAAAGCATAAAAGATGCAAAGAACTGGTAAGTGTTCTTGCTGCCTACTGTTGTGAGCGTAACAGTAGAAGAGGAGCTAGGTTGTTGTGTGCCTCGCTTGGATTCTCTTCAGTTTATCTTAATAATGAATCACCAGTCATTCTCTTAATTTGAACACAAATTTTGGGTTCCAGCTGTTGAGGCTGGTCTTTCAGCTAGCTGTAGCATTTAGCTACCTACATCACAGGAGGAAACTCTCTGGCCCTTGATGGTTTGAGGAGATACTTTTTTTTCTCCCTTTTGTTTCTGCTTTGCTGAGCAGCACTGGTGGCATTAGGGCCGGTGACAACGTGTAGTTTCACTCAGTGCTTATCTTCTGAACAGAAGTTTTAGATCTTGCTCAAATCTCAGTTCAGGTCAGTTCTAATGCATAACTCGGCCTCATTGTCTGGGTTACAATGGGTTGTTTAAGGAATAACATGGGCATTTCATGTTGTTAGTAACTTTTCAAGTTCAAGGAGGGACCAACTCACCTTGAAATACTGGGGCTGAGACTTGGCACACAGGGAATTAGCTGTTGGGATAGCCAGAAAATATTTGCTGATCCATAAAACATTGGGATGAGGAGGTGTATGTATGTCTGTGTGGAGTCATGTGTGATTATGGAATGGATTGGATGGTGGAATATGGAATGGATTATGACTATGAATTCCTGTCTCTGCCAAATAGTTTTGGGGGAGTTAGTGTGAGAGCTGTGGTGTAGTAACACATGCTATTTCTGGACAGGAGATCCAGCTGCAGGAGGTACAAAGTGAAAATGCACGACTGGCCGAAGAGAACTTGCAGCTGAACGAGAAGGCTGGATGGGCAGGACAGGTAAGAGGCAGTATCTTTGTCTGTCAGATGGAGCATTAGCTTCTCTAAAAAAATTGCAGAGAAGGACTTGCTGCATGCTGAAAACTTGCTAGGTTTTCAGGCTGCCAGCTGAGTAATAGTCGTGTGCCTGTCTGTGTACCCCATGGTAACTGCCAGCAGAGCAGTTAACTGCCCTGTTTGTATTACAGAGTTTTTCAGACTTCAGTGAGATGCTTTGTCCTTACTTAAATTTGTACTTGGTTTACCTGTGATAACTTGTGAAGGAGTTCATAACCCAAGGCGGACAGCGGTTGGTTGGCAGACAGTGGTTGGTCGTAGAGCAGAACGCGTCACTGCAAGTGATGCAGACATAAGGTGTGTGTGAAAGTCCTCGGTCACCTCTGACTTCTTTTGTCGTCCTCCAAGAGGGCTTTTGGTGGCTGATGATGGGGCAGGGGAGAAAGCCACCCCTGCAATTAAGAGCTGCCCTTGCCAGATGGAAAACCAAAAAAGCTTCAGGCCTTGGGACAAAGGCAACTTGCATTGTTCAGTTTGCAGAGCAGATTTCAGGGAGGGTGGCTGCACCTCGGAGGGTTGTGTTCTGGGAACATGTTGCTGTGTATGAGAATGGTGGAAGAGTTGGTTCTCTTGTGAAGATCTTCATGGGTTACTGTTCCCAGATCCTTCTCCAGACAAATGTAATGCACGAGAGTTAGAAAGCTAATTGTCTGTCCTATATGTCACTCTTAAGAGTCATCATTTTGCCACCGTGCGTAAGGCTTCTCACATATTTAATAACGGTTCTAAATGTAATTGTTTGTCTTTGCCTGATAACCTGTGTTGCTAATAGTCACCAAGCCATAGTGCACTCTAGAGACAAAATACATTGCTGGAACTTCCTGTAGTAAGTGGAGGAGGTAAATGATTTCATCAGACTACCGTGTCTTTCTCTACTGTTCTCTGTGTTTAGTCCTACCATCTAGGATTAAAAAAGCTTGCAGACCTTTGTGCCTTTTTTTTGGTATCTCCTCAGTATGTAGCCTGTTCATATCCCAGTCCCTTCCTCTCCGCAAAAGAGGAGTCTAGTGGGAGAAGTGGTATGTGCAAATAAAGTGTTCCGATCACTGAGGACTGATACAAATGCATGTGCATTTCTTTTGAGTGGAAGCCAGAGGAGGCTCATGATTTTGGTGTCATTACTGGTAGAAAGCAGGTCTGCAAAACAACCTACTGCGATACCGAAATAGACTTCCATTATTTATACACGGAATACCTATGGCTACTCGTGCTCATTGACAATCCTTTCTCTTCAGGTTGAATCTGAGAATGCTGACCTGAAATTGCAGGTTGTTTTGGTTACTAAGGAACGGGATTCAGTAATTCAGACGAATCAAGGACTCCAAACCAAGCTGGAGAATCTAGAGCAGGTGCTGAAGGTCAGTAGGATCCACGTGGCTGGAAGCACTTAGTGCTGCTTTGGATGGCACATGTTGTCTCTTTGCCTTTTTTGTCCATTCTTTTGTCTCTGTGCTTCCATGGGGAATTCTGCCTCGGCAGGATCCTGGAACATGGCTTTCCAAAGTGGGCAGAGGTGCTTTAGAAAGGCTGCTGCAGGGATTTGGGTGGGAGGGGAAATAAGGTGGCCATTGCTGACTTAAGGATTTTCTTTGACTGTGTTGCTCTGGCTTGTGGTAAGAGTTTCTTACTTTCTCCTCTGTTCGATCATGAAATGAAATACAGGCCACGCTTTGACTTCGTGGCCCCTGGTAGGACACGGGGCAGTATTTCAGTAATGTCACCCTTCAGCTGTCTGTGAATTGTTCTACAGCACATGAGAAATGTGGCTGAGCGAAGGCAGCAGCTGGAAGTCGAGCACAAGGAAGCGCTGCTAGTCCTGCAGGAGAAGCAAGAGGAAGTCAGGCGGTTGCAGCAGGTATGCAGCGTATGGGAGAATGGACATTTTACTCTCTGAATCCCTGGAATGTGATGGATCTCCTGCACCTTGTTTCCTTGGAAGTGTGGTCTATGGAGGATGTATATGGAGCTTACAGGATCAAGTAAACTAAGGAAGAGTGTCTGTGTCTAGGCGAACTCTGCTACCTGAGTGGAGTGAGGGACTTTTCTCCCGACTGGCAGTTCTGCTATCTCACTGCTCCTTGTCCAAGACCAAAGAGCCTTTGAGTCCGTGCGGTGTTTTAGGTCTATAAAGGCCCATCTAGGTGGTGATGATAGTAGAACTGAATTTAGATAGGCTGCTTTTTTATTTACTCCATTTCTTGTTTCTTCTTAGGCACAGGCAGAGGCAAAAAGAGAACATGAAGGAGCAGTACAGCTTCTAGAGGTAAGACAGAAGAGAACAAGATGGATTAGTGGCTGCAGATTTGCCATCTTTTCTTAATGTCAGCTTTCTTGATGCCCTGGGTTTTGTGTGTTCTTGAGCAAAATGTTTTAATGTCTTGATCAGGTGCAACATGTTGCTGATGTGAGCAAGTGTCGGCTGTTCTGGCAGAGTAGTCTTTGCAGTCAAAGTTTTTGGGGATTAAATCTTGTCCTGCTTGGTCCTCACATAGATTAACTTCATTCAGATTGTGCCCAATGGCTCTTTCAGGGAGGCGTTAAGTAGCCAACCTCAGATCTGCCTGCTCTGTTTTCCAGGGTCATCTGCAGGGAGTGAGAATCCTTGTGTCCTTGTGATTTGAAATTTCTTTCGTGTGTATGTGCTCTGTGCTTCTTTATTGGGGAGGGGGAAAAAGGAGGAATGTGACCTTTGCCTGAGCAGACGAGTGATGAAGTTTTAGGCAGCTCCCTTCTCCCATTTGCTAGGCCAGGACCAGCTCTGCGAGTGCTCTGACATCCACTCAGAACGCGCTCTGCAGTGGTGGCAGACAGCTTACTGGTGCAGCCTGGCAGGTGCGGTGAGCCCTGCTTTGGTTTTGATTTGTATTATCTCAGTGTTATCAGGATGAATTTGCAGAAAACCTTGGCTGTGGATTCCTGGAACTGCAAGGGCAAAGCACCGAATCCTGGAACTTGGTGTGGTGATTTAGTGCCTGCCCGGAGTGTTGGGTTAGGTATGAGAGAAAATGGGACGGCTTATGCTCCCTCAGTCCACGGAGGGTTTCTGGGTATTAAAATATCTGAGACTGAGGAGAGTGCCTCACTGGACAACAGTGAGATTCCACACTAGCGCAGCCTTGCCCTGTCTGCAGTGGTGACGTACAGTCAGAGATGGCAGGCTGAACTGCCTGTGTCCACTGCTGCGCTGGCTGTTAGGAGCCCAGGAGAGTTGAGCGAGATGGTAGGTGTCCTTGATGGAGGAGACTGCTCCATGGCTGCCAAGAGCATCTCCTTTGCAGGGGGCCTGACCTGTATCTGAACTGGAGAGCCCATGAGTGCTGGCTCCTTCTAGATGGGATGAAAATGGTTGCAGGCTGAGGGAGTGTCAGAGGGAAGTGACATTATGTATTGCCTCACTTCCGCATCCTCTCTGGGACATCTGCTTTTGCTGCAGAGGCAGGATCAGTGCTGATACAGGTGCTGCTCTTGCGTCAGTTGGTATTTAACTGGCTTCTTAGCAGCCTTTAAGGGAAGGGAGGTTTGGTGCTTGCCAGTTGTTTTCCATACTAATTCACTGAAGGACTGCAGAAGCTACTTAGTTTTACTTTAGACATCTACCTGTGCAAAGGAAGAAAGGAACAGTCATTTTGTTGCATGTTTGAGAGGTTGGTTGTGGTCTTCTGCAAGAGCCTCATCAGTTAAATACCCTTGCTTTCATTTCATTGGTACAGAGGGACTTTGTAAGTCAGTGCCACCAGGTGTGGACCAAAGAAAGAGACTGTGGAGAAACAGTCATTTTGATGATGTATCTGTGGTCAGAGTCATTCCAGAACATCAGTGTAGGGCAATGTTAGGGGGTTTGGGGTGCTTACACTGCATATGGTTGTTTTTACATGTGTTTGGATTGCTTTTTCATGTAATATTAATGAAGGAATATGGTCTGTTTCCCTGTTGGAAGAGTTGTCCTAAGAGGAGTCTCCCCCTTGGAGAAACTCTAGTGAAAGCTCTCAGCAACCTGCTGTAGCCAACGCTGCTTTGAGCTGAGGGAGTTGGACTGGGTGATTTCCAGAGCTGCCTTCCAACCTCAGCTATTCTGTAGCTCTGTGATACGGCAGTGGGGAGGGTGAGTAGAGGTATGGGATGGTTTCTGTGTGCAGAGATGCCACGGATAGGACTCTGTTAGCTTAGAAAGTAAACCTTAAGGGTTATGGTCATGGGAATGAAGGAGTGCAGCAGTGGCTCCACTTGATTCCCAGCACTCCTTGGTCTCAGACCTGGGGAAAAGTCTGGACACAAGGTGTCCATTCTGTTGATTTTGTGGGTGGTTGCAATGTGGTGGTAAAAGAGGACTTAAAATTTAGCACTGACACTCACAGTGTATTGGGATTTGGAGGCCATCAAACAGCGCATGGTTATCTTGGTTATCTATTTGCTATGTGGGATTTGGCTTTTGTTTAACAAGCAGATGCCTGTGGGAATGAGGTGAGAATCTCAGTATGGAACAATAAGTCAGTGAGAAAAGAATTTCCTTCAAAATGAGGGTTGGGTTATCTTTGGCAGATTGTTGATTTTTGGCTAGTGTGACTGCTGATGTGGTTTTAAATCTCTTTTTGTTTTTCTTCTTGCTACCAGAGTACTTTGGATTGCATGCAGGTACTGCTATAAACCTGTCAGACAGGACATTTGTCTCCTCTGTCCTGATTCTGACAGTTGCTTGATATTCTTGTTTTAACTATACTCTGGAAGAGATTGCAGGAGTGTCACCTCCAAGCAATAAATGTAATTAAGGCAGCTACCACTATGAAGTTGATGGAGCAGCTGCTTTTCTGTTTAAATGCTTTGCTTCCTTGACCAATTAGAACTAGAAGCTTTATTTTCTTTTTGTCATTTCCAGTTTTTTAGATTTGTCCAACTGTGTGCCTTCTCCATGTGTCACATGCGTTTGAAGGTCTTTTGGGAACTACTTGCAATCAGAGAGTGAAGTGTTTCCTTCAAAACCCAAAAGCAATGGCCACATAATTGCAAATATAAGTTCCGTGGACAAAAAAGCCAGATCCTGCTGGCTTTGTAATTGGTTGGAAAATGGGAAGTGGAGGTTATGAATAATAGTTTTGTCAAAAAAGGTAGAAACTAATGAAGTTATAGCCTGGGAGCAGTGCTAGCCGGCCTGTTCACAAAGGATTTGGAAAGAAGGCTTATATGGAAGTGGTTGGGTTTGTAGCTGATAGGAAACTGCTTACAATAGCCACCTTCAGTTCTGACTGCAAAGAGCTGTGAGAAGAACTCATGAGTAGAGGGGAGGTTAAATGACAGGGAACAGGACTGTGCAAAGGCACGCCATGGAGGAGAAGCAGCCGTGACTAAACGTGCACAGCGGTGGGCTCTAAATTACCCGTTGTGTCAGGAAAAGCAGTATTTGAGGTAGGGTGGTTTTTGTAAAATGTCAGCCGAATTCACAAGTCTGGTCAAAAAAGCAAGTGCAGTGTTGGGAACTTTTAGGAAAGGAATTGGGAACAGCCCAAGGACATTATTAGGGTAGGCCCACATCCTCTAGAAATGGTACCCACATCTGTGTGGAGTCATGGATGTTCCTTTAATCCCTTCGGTGTTAGCCCTGCTTTGAGCGGGAGTTTGGACTGCAGACCGGTAGAGTTGCCTTCTGCAAAATTGTGAATCTCTGATCTCAAAAACATACAGCAGAAGATGCAGAGAAAGGTAACACGGGACGTCAGGATGGGATAATTACTCTATTACACGTCTCCTGTGTCATCTATAGGAGACGTGTAATAGAGCAGCCAAGAAGGACAATGTCTAAGAGGACAGGGCTGAGCTGGTGGTGGTTGGGTCTAGCTTGGTGTGGAAAATCAGAGTAAGTTCCCAAACTGGTGGTTAAACTGGCCCCACCAAGCTCTGCTCCCTGCTCTTGCAGCCTCTTCTGGTAACCAGTCTCATTTGGTGTGTGGCTTCTCTTTCTCCCCACTTTAGGCTGGGCATAGACACAAAAATCTCCTCTTTTCTGTGTCTGGGGCTCCTGAAACTCCTGCCTGTGGCCTTAGGCCCTTCTTCCTTATCCCCCTGCCTCCTAGCGCTGCCCTGGAAAGTTGCTGCTTGCCCAGCTGTGTGTGAACCTCCGGACGTAGCCTGCTAGAGGTCTGCGTTGTGTGTGGTGTGGCGGTAACGCTGCTGGGACCTTTGTACGTTGTTTTGAATAACACAAGATCTAAAAGACACCTGAGTAATTAGGTATCTCAGAATTAAACCGTGGATTATGCAGGCTATTGGCTTGTCCCCTGGTATAAATGGATTAAACTGTGATTAATAAATTTACAGAACCAAGGCACTTTTATGATGCTAATAAACACAGTATCCAGATGCATCTCCTGGCTCACGTCTCCAGACAAGATGGGAAAACCCTCTTCGGCCCTGCGGTCGTTCTGTACCTGTCTCGTGCCATAGGCTGTGATCCAAGGTGGGACCAGGGACAGATGTTGGTCTAGAGGAAGCCCTAATTTGATCCAGTGCAGCTGTTTTTGCTGTTCATGGTTTCTTTCTCTGTAAGATGTAATGCATAGGGGAGAAGGATTTTTGTAAAAAATCTTCACTGTAAATAAATTTGAACCCTTACGATCGCAGAGGAATCCTGTACGTGACTTGATGAACAGGGGGTTGACTCTGAGCGAGTGGAGAATGCAGATGCTTGTGGAAGTTGCTCATGGCATCTGATACTCTCCGTTCAGAGACAGTTAACCTCTTGCCGGACTTGAGAGACTTCACCAGGCTTCCCCTGAAGACTGCGAGCTCCTACTAGTTGTGAAGGAAACAAGTGGCAAACTGACGTGTGTAGAACAGATATGCCACGATAAAATAAAAATGCACGCGCAGAGGTTGGTAGGGAGTGGGCTAGAAAGATTTTTGCAGTACTCTGAGACCGGAAAGAAGGCTTTTTCCACGTCAGATGTGTTATTTTTGGAGTTGCCTAAAACCCAGACTTTTTGTCTCATAGAATATTTCAAGGGATGACTTTTTTCTTTTTTTAGTTGGAAGGAGAAAAAGACACTTCAAAAATATTTTTGTAGAATGGAAAATCTTGAAGAGCACAATGCAGTCATCTGTTTTGATGCCTCTTACCTACGCAAAATGATGCACGACGACAAAGCCTGACGTGATCTTAGCCCAAAGAGGAAAAAAGAGAACAAATGCCATCCCTTGCAAGGCAGAGGCTGCACCTCAGCCAGGTGCACTAATCCAAATTAACTATTTTCTGCATTAACTCCTTTGAAGAACTGCTGATTAGATAATATATTCCCATGCAGCACTAATGCTTTTTGTTTACTTGAAGTGCATGAGCAGGATCTACACGGGATATCTGTTTAGGAAGCCAGAGTAAGCTGTTGCGTGGTGGAAGAGTGAGAAGAGGGAAAGGAGCAGTTGCATTCTCCTAAGAATTGGTATGCCTACAACTAGGGGGTCTGTGGGGATGTGTAAGGACAGCCATGACTCAGCAATAATATTTTAGAAGGGGAAGATTTAGATGGTAGAAGGACAATACTAGAAAATACAAACAAATGGTTCTCTGGTAGGAATGTGTCCTTCCCTCCATAGTATTTCCCCAAGGTTCCCCTGCACTTCTTCTTGCTGAGACAGTTTTCTTGCACTCAGCCTGCATTTTTCTGGAGCAAGGCATCCCTATAGGACCTGGTGGCAAAGCATGTGGACTGTCCCCATCAAAGAAATGTTCTGTGGCTTGGGCCAGGGTGCTGGTGCTGTCTGCTCTTTTTAATGCCTGGAGGAGCCAAGATCTGGAGGGACATTCAGGAGTCCTGACCAGAATGGTGGGAAGGCCAGGGTAAGGTTTTGGGAAGTTGCTGGCACTTGTGGAATGATGGACAAGATAGAGCCCTGGGAGTGCAATTCCTTTTTGGAGATGTGATTTTAATGCTCCAGTAAACATGCAAAAACTTTTCAATCTTTTTCTTCTCAAGTCTTACTTATCTTTGACTTATTTCATCTGGTCTTGTGCAGGGCTTGGATAGGATATTGAAGTTCAAACCAGGCGTTTCAGGGATAATTCCTCATTGAGTTTGCAGTCAGTCTCCTAATAGATGATGAGCCTTAGGTTTTCAAAACGGTGTAGGTACAGAGCTGCCAGTTCCTATTGGCCGTTCCTGGGCAGGGCAAACGTTTAGGATTTTGGAGTCTGAGACCCACTGAAAAGTTGCAGCAAAGGCAAATGCTGTTTGGAGCCCCACTGGCGATTTTGTTATGGGTTTGGGCCTCATCTTGTGTTTCTCCTGTCAGGCCAGGGTGAAGGATCTCGAAGACCAGTGTCGCAGTCAAACAGAGCAGTTCAGCCTCCTGTCTCAGGAACTCAAACAATTTCGGCTTCAAACAGGAAAAATCGACCTTCTCACCTCTACGCTGGTGACTTCTGAGCTTCCTCTTGCTCTGTGCAGCTCCACCCCACAGCCTCACTGGGAGAAGGGTAATTACTGGAGATGCCTGCAAGTGTTTTGACATGAGTTGTTATTTGTGTAAAAGGAAAGGTGTAAAGGAAGTTACTCAAATGTTTAGTTAACTTTTGGGATCTGTATCTCTCTCTTGTAAATACCTTTGGTTCATTTTGCAGTCAGGAAGAGAACTTGGCATTTCTCTGACCAAAGAGAGCCCAGGTGTTCAGGCTGTTGCACTCTTAAAGAAATGATATTTTTAGAGACTTGAGCTGCTCTGAAGGGTGTTTGGTCACTGTGATGCTCGCTGCTGATCTTGGATTTTGCCTGTGGCTAAAAGTAACGGACGGATTATTTTATTGCAGAATCAACTGTTCCTGGATTGCTCACTCACCAGAGCGCGAAGAAGGTTCACAATGGAGAGGCTGATGAGTTGGAGTCGTCTCAGCGGGCGCCTGACGCCACTGTTCGCTCCCAGGTTGCTGCTACCAGTTCTCAGAAACAAGCCAAGAAAGTGGAATCTCAGTCAAACTCTTCAAAGTCAGAATCCATGCAGAACAGTCCAAAATCCTGTCCAACTCCAGAGGTCAGTATGGGAGTCCCTGTACTGAACGTATTTACAGGTTCTGGAGGGGAACTGCCTGAACAGGAGCATTTAGGGACTTAGACATCTAGTAGAGCTGAGAGGTCTCCTTTGTTCAGATTACCGTTTGTTGCACACAGGGAAAACTACCATTTAGATGTAGCAAGAAATTAATATATTGAATTATGGATATGGGGGTGGAAGGGGCCTCCAGAGTCTCTAGTCCAATCTCCTACTCAAGTGGGACTGTCACCGACACTAGATCAGTGTGGCCATGGCTTTGCCTAGCCGAGGCTCTAACGTCTTCAAGAACGGAGATCCTCCTGTCCCAGTGTTGCATCACCCACCTGGGCAAGGAGTTTTTCCTAATGTCTGACTGGAATCCCTGAAGCTGTAGCTTGGAGCTGTTCCCTCTTTTTACCACTTCTTTGCCTTACAAGTCGTTCTTCCTGATGGTCCTTAGCCCAGTGACCAGGCTGGCACCATACATGAGCTTAGGACTTACTCACTGAGTGTTCTTTTACTTTGATTTCAGCCTGTCATATCTTTCACCTTTAATGTTTTTAGGTGGACACTGCAAGTGAAATGGAAGAACTGGATGTTGACAGCATCTCTCTCATGCCAGAGACAGGCAGCCAAGGCCCTGCAAAGCTCCAGGTGTTCTTAGCTCGATACAGGTACTGGGTCATTTCTTGTGGTCCATGAGCTTAGCCAGGTTATCTCATAGTTGCCTACTTTACACTCTTCTCTAGGATTCACCACTGTTAGGAGGGGATATTAGCTTAGACCATGTATCTCATTCCTCCATAGGATTTTGAGACCTCTTATTTCCTGCACAAGCAAATTCAATGTGCTTAACTTAACAAAAACATAGTAAGCTCATTTATTGGTCAGTGAACAGCAATGTGTGAGACGTTTGGGGGTTTTTTAATATGAAATTGGATGGAAAATTGAGTTTGAATTGCCATATTTCTTGAAAAGTCTGATTTCTCTAGAGTAGTCCAAGAAATTTTCTCTAAGAAAGTGTTATTCCAACAATTAAAATTTCAGCCCAGAAATTCTGAATTGAAGTTTTTAAATCAAAATAATTCTGGTTGTAATTTTAAAGGAAAAAAGTGCACAGAATAAACTCAGATTTTTTTTTCTCATAACTTGCAATCTGCTAAGCAGTAACCACTAGCTATTTACAGTTCAGAAGGTATTGGCATACCCTTCAGCTTTTGCACTGTGAACTGGGGGGAGGAGAACTGGGATGATTCTGTGCTTATGAGGAGCAGGTCAAATGTGTCTTCATGTCAGAATCTTGAGCCTGCCAGGTCTCGCTCGGCTCATAGGGAGGCTAACATTGCTTGGGCATGTTGAAATCCCTTTTAAAGACTAAAGAGCAGGGTTTAGCAGTTGGTGCTTTCAGAGATAAAGGTGTTTCTATGAGGCATTTTCCTGTGACAGGCCCTTTGTTAGCTCAAGGTTCCCTAGGTAGACAGGTTAGAACTACCTGGAGTCCAAATCCTATCACCAATGTATTTATCTTTTTCACACTAATGGAGCTTTTGGTGGACTGAGAGTTGTATAACTTGCATCCTGAGGGTTGGATAATTATGAAGAAAAAGGCTAGAAGCCTTTTCTTCACTCATGGAACTTTCTTCTTCTGAGAATCAGCTCATTCTTATGGTTTTAAACATGAGAATTTGGAGATTCTGTGCTGTGCTTGTCCATGACATTCATACGGCTGATAAAGGGAAAGGTTTGGGCCATTTGCCATGCTTTGGGTTTGGGGTTTTTTTCCCCCAAAACTGTTAAGTGCGTGAAATGTAGAGAGCTATCTACATAAAATAGTTAAGAGTGCAGGTGAATTTAAGGATATCTATTTTAGAAATGCCGAGTCCAACAACTTACCTACTTGGTACACTCGGAAACACAACAGGCACTCGGGTAATTCAGATCTTTTCTAAACACTTTCTTAGTCACTCTGATCTGTTTCTTCAGATGTCACAACACATCTGTTCTGCTACTCAGAAAATTATTCCTAGCTGCTCTTTGAACATCGAGCAGTATGTTATTAGTTATAAATAAAACCCTAAACTAGAGTCTTGACCTTTGGCTGTGGAATTTGCTGCTTGCGAAGACTGGACGCAGCCCCAGTGAATCGTAAGCTGATCTAACATCACAGCCTGAATGCATTGCTGTGAAAGTTCCTACACAAAGTAACTTCATGCTGTAAATATTTCAGCTACAATCCTTTCGATGGACCGAATGAAAATCCAGAGGCAGAGCTTCCGCTGACTGCTGGAGAATATATTTACATCTATGGAGACATGGATGAAGATGGCTTCTTTGAAGGTGTGTTTTAGTAGAATGAAACGTGACTGAACTGCTGTGGAGAGTTGATCTCTTAAAAAAAAATTGAGAGGAATTTCATTAATCTTGAAACCTCAAGATAAAGATTTTCTGTCCACAGTTAGATTGTTAGAGGGAAAAGCAGATTCTGTTGGAAAAGGGGTTATTTATATCATGATTAAATTAAGTCTAAAACATGACATCCTGGTCTGGTGATTTCAGTGGGATTTTTGCCACTGCTTTCAGGAGAGCTCCAGGTTTCATCCCCATATGCTTCCTCCCTAACCATGGAGAGGAACATGTTCAGCCCTGGGCACCTCTGCAGATGGTCTGTTTCCCTCTTTCCAGGGACTGCTCAGTGAGCCAGAGACCGTAGGCAGTTAGTGGTTTTGATTACCTCTTGCTCTTTTGGCAGAGAGTATAAGCGTAATTATAAGCTAAGCCACCCAAACTGCAGTTGGTACCCTATTTGGTGTCGTACAGTGTGTTTTCCTTTCGGCATCTTTGAAAAAAAGGCCCTGGTTAACTAGTAGGCAGATGGAATTGAAACCAAGAATTGTGAACTGTAAATCTGGGATGAAGTTTATGGTGTAGCTGGCTTAATGAGATGAAGAATCCTAATTTTCTGAGGTGCTTTGCAAGAGCTGAGGCGAATGCATGCCATGTTGCACTGCTTGCTCTTTGACTGTTCTGGCTCTTTCTTTCTTTCTATTTCCAAGCTTCTTATGTATTTATTTGTTTGTTTGTTTATTGTTTAAAGAATAAAAAGGTTATTCTTTACTAACGTTTTCTGCTTTCCCTGCTTTCAATTGATTTGCTGTAGGTAGAGTTTGAAAGGGGAAAGTAAGTGCAATCCCTATGCGCTGCTCATTTGACTGTGATGTGATGGTTATTGCACGTACCAAGAGTGCTGTGGTGTCGGTCATCCCCATGGGTCCTTTTGGGACATCTTTATTATGGAAGCTAGCTTAACGAAAGAGGGAACTAAAAAGAAGGCCAGAGCTGAATACAGAGCTGGAAAGATGGACTTTCTTAAGGAAGTACTACAAAACCCAAATCTGTATGGCTGGGAGAAGATGTAAAATCATCAATCCGGATAGTTTGAAAGGCTAGAAAAAGGCGCTTGTTAGTCAAAGAGCTGTGATGAGGAGCAATAGGATAATGAGGAAGGAAAAACCCTTAAGCTAATTACACAAAACAGCTTTCTAGTTAGTTGGCTCTGGACTGTGTGCAGCAGTGAGTGTGTGGAGCGCTGTGGCCGTTAGGATCTAACTAGGGCAGCCTTAGGAAATGCAGGAAACTTTGCCAGAAATAACTTCCCAGAGGTTTTTTTTCCTTTCCTGACCGCAGTGCAGTTACGACCTAGCGTAGCCATCACATTATCTTCACAGATGGGTTGGAAGGCTGAACGGCAGGTGCAGTGGTAACAGGTTTCCTGTTTTTTGTTTAGGGGAGCTGATGGATGGCCGGCGAGGGCTGGTCCCCTCCAATTTTGTTGAGCGAGTTTCAGATGATGACCTCATGACGTTTCTGCCTTCGGAGCTGAATGATCTCACCCATAGTTCATACCAGGAGAAAAGTTTTGTCAGTGCAAGCACCAGCAGTGGAGATAAGAGTGATTTCTCCCTTGAAGAGAGTAGCATCAGTCCATTGGCCAGTAGAGCAGAAGGAGACCAGGAGGAACCTGTTAGTCATACAGCAGTGCCTTACCCAAGAAAATTGACTTTGATCAAGCAGCTTGCCAGAAGCATAGTTGTAGGCTGGGAACCACCGCTTTTGCCAGCTGGCTGCCCAGACATACAAAGCTACAACGTCTATGTGGATGAAGAGCTACGTCAAAATGTGAAGAGTGGCTTTCAGACCAAAGCAGTGATTGAAAAGCTGGATTTAAAGACAAAGGCTTACCGTGTATCTGTGCAGAGTGTGACAGAGCGAGGGAGTTCTGATAAACTGCGGTGCACTTTCCTTGTGGGGCAAGATTTTTCGGTGGCACCAAGTATGCTGAAAGTCAGAAGCGTCACTGCCACGTCAGCAGAGGTCGCGTGGCTTCCCTGCAACAGCAATTACAACCACGCGGTGTATCTCAATGGGGAGGAATGTGACGTAACAAAACCTGGGGTCTACTGGTACACCTTCCGCAACCTGCAGCCGAGCACTCAGTATGTTGCCAAGCTGGAGGCCCGGCCCTTGAAAACACCTTGGGAAGAGGTCCCAGAGGGGCAGGAGCAGAACTCAGCTGTGATACACTTCACTACCCCACTAGCAGGTATCAGAGCAGTCATGTCCATTGCCACTGTGCGTGGAGTGCTTGGAGCAGTGCGCTCTGTCGTTCCTTTGCTGTGAAGCCTTGGGGTGAAGGGAAGCAAGGTTTATTAGGTCTCAAAGCCTGAGATGCTGTTCTGTTTTGTCTTAATGTTTTTCTTCCTTTATTTTAAAAATTTATTCTCTTTCTTGTTTTTGTTTGCTCTGGGAAGACATCCCCTTTGCTGGTTTGAGCAGCATGCCTCTCAGGGCATGGAGGATCTGGTTTGCCATGACCTTGCTCTAAGGGTCGCTGCATCTTGGCCTCAGCTACTTTTGCAAAGTTCTGTTTTCTGTGCATTAAGGCTTTCACAGTACAAGAGTGCCCTATTTTCTCTGGTTCTGTCTATCATTTCCCAAGACTAGCCTGGCTATTCTAGTGCCGTTCTGCTGTGGCAAGTCTGTTGTGAGCTTCCTCTTGAATTCTAATCAGGGTTTAGTTTAACTTTATGCTGTAGTGGGGTAAGCAAGAGGAAAATCTGTTTGGTTTCTCACAGGCACACCGGATGCACCTCTGGATGTCCAGGTAGAAGCTGGTCCCTCGCCAGGTATCCTAGTTATCAGCTGGTTACCTGTCACCATTGATGCAGAAGGATCTTCCAATGGAGTTCGAGTCACCGGTTACGCTGTGTATGCAGACGGACAGAAGGTATTGTGCTGGTGCTGGGCAAGGCTGATGCTTGTGCTGGAGGTGGCTGGAGGCTGGTGCAGGGACAGTGGGCAGTCATGGAGCTTTGAGACCTGGAAAGCAGCTGGTGACTCTACCAGTCAGCCCTGATGTGATGAATATTGTCACTGAGGTGCTCATGTGTCCTAGCCAGGACTGATACTTTGGGAGAGGTAAAGAAAAAGGAAGACAAACCTGTGCTCTGAAAAGCAAGGAACCTTTTTAAACCGAGAGAGGACTTTTCTAATACATCATTACCATGACACGTGTTGGTAACCTACAGCTGATCCTGAGTAAGAGACACAGTAACAGCAGCATGCAACCACAGTGCTTGAATGGTGTTTCGTGCTGGCATCAGTAGGGAGATTCTTCATTCCTCGTTAGAGTACTTAGTTTGTTAATTTGTTTCTAAGCTCTTTAGCACATAGTAGTAATTCCTTGCTGTTGACACTATTTCCTGTGTATTTTTAATGCTGGTATTGCAGTGTCTTTCTTCTGCCATGTTTCTGGTGTGCCCACCTGAAACGTGGGTGTGCAAGAAGTGTAATGACACTACCTTACCACAGTGGTGCCAATAAGCCTCTGGAAAGCTATGAAATAAGCTCATCTCTATCAGTGCTGTTACTCCCAAAAGTTCTGGTTTAGTTAAAATGAAGAGTGATAAAAAAATGCCACTTTTCAAAAACAAATCTTCCTATGCTTTCCCTGTAGGAAAAGGATAGTGACAAAAACCATGTAGAAAATACGGAAAAATCAAAAATATGTGATGAAATAGGGAGAAATATGGAATAGGCTTCAAAAAGCTTGATCTAGTAGGTGTGCCATGAGGAGGCAACGCCAGTCCTTGGCCTGAAAAGGAATGATATCAGTGAAGGGACAATGCTTGGGCTGTTCATTTTAACTGATGCACACCAAAACAGATCTGTCCAGATTTTGATGTGTTCTTGATATAACCAAGCTAGGAAAGTTTCTGTGGCAGGACCCTTTGCTAGCAAAACAGCACAATTAGTGTCAGCTTCCTCTGTCTTACCCTAGGCACTAGCTTGATGCTTGTGGAAGCAATGAGCTCAAAGAGCTGTGAGTCCACAGGGCATGGACAGAAAGAAGTACACAGCCTTGCCACCACCTGGGGCTTGTCTCTGGACTATGAGGAGTGAGGTGTAGTTCTTCAGCCTGCCGTCAGGAGCTTTGAGGAGAGTTGTTAACTTTGGGTTCAGGAATTGTCGTTCTCACAAGGGCTGAGCTGTCCGCAGTAAATAATTGCTCCCTATCTGTTTGCTTACAGGCGATAGAAGTTACTTCTCCAACAGCTGGGAGTGTCCTGGTGGACTTGTCCCAGCTTCAGATGTTCCAGGTGTGCCGGGAGGTTTCTGTGAGAACAATGTCTCTGTACGGGGAGTCAGTGGATTCAGTTCCAGCCCAGATCTCCTCAGTTTTGCTGCGAGCCTCTCATCGCTCTTCACCTTCAGATTCTGCTGTTTCTACCACTTTTACCTCTAGACTGCCTCGTGGAGACCCCAGAGGCGCTCTGCCTGCACGCAGCCCACCCACGCACCAGACAGCTGCACTCCTGCTTCGACAGAAAGTTCCCACTGATAGCTCAGATGCCAAATTGACTGATCTCTCCTCTAGCCACGATGGCTCAGCGCAATCTCTGCCGGAGAAAGCCTCTTCACCACCGCACCTCTCCTCTCCCAGTGCTTCCTTGGTGCAGGTTTTAGGCACTTCCCCACAGGGATCAGATGCTGCACGAGACAAGAAATGCCTGACTGTGCCTCCACAGCAAGCTGGCAGTACAGTGCTCCCTGGTGAGGGCACGGAGCCTGTCACTTCAAGGGAAGCAGAATTACAAGGCCTGGGTGAAGGGACAGAGGTGCAGGTAAGTGCTTACATCTGCCCAGTACCACATGTGCTGGGAAGGAGGACAGATCATTTTAGGGAATGGAACAAAATGCCATTGAGCATCTTTCTTTTTCTGCAACACACTGCTGCCTTTTGGCTGTGGCCCAGTGGTTGGCAAACCAGCAGGAGTATTGGCTGCTGTGGTGTACCTGGAAAAGTAGATGAAGCTCACCGCTTGACCGCATGTGCGCAGGCAGGTCGTGAATAGAGTCAGGAAAGCAAGAATTCATCAGGGATTGAAGGTGGAAAGAATGTTCTCACTGATGATGATGTCAGTGTTCATCTGGCGTTGCTTTGCTCTCTGATTTGAAGGCGTCTCCTCCAGCCCAGTGGGCTTGCGCGAAGCAGAGTAGGCACTCTAGTCCTAGTGACAGGACAAGGGGTAATGGGTATAAATTGAAATCAGGGAGGTTTAGATTAGATATCAGGAAGAAATTCTTCCCAGAGAGGGTGGTGAGGCACTGGAACAGGTTGCCCAGAGATGTTGTGGATGCCCTATCCCTGGCTGTCTTCAAGGCCAGGCTGGATGAGGCTTGGAGCAACCTGGTCTGGTGGGAGGTGTCCCTGCCCATGGCAGGGGGGTTGGAACTAGATGATCTTTAAGGCCCCTTCCAACCCTAACCATTCTATGATTCTATGAGGGGTTTGTTCCAGGGCTGTGCAACCTTCCCAGCTGCACATGGCCTGCTAAAGTCTTCATACGCCAACAGTGCGGAACGCATGCTTGTCTCAGAGTTTGGCGGGGTGAGGACCCCCTTTTGGTGCGCAAGTATTGCCTGATACTTTCCCCAGGCCTGTTTCATGGTTTGTGATGACCTTTTTTTTGGTTTGTTTCCCAGATGGAGCAATCTGTGACCAAAGCGCCGGAGCTGGAAAGCCAGTCTAGCAGTAGTGTGAGGATACGTGTGGAGACTGGCCACGAGCACTCCGTGGAAGAGTCACCAAAAGGTCCCAGTGCTGAAAGAGAGGAAGAGGCAGAAGAGAAGCACCTGACCCCAGACCCTCTGCCATCCCCCAGCCAGGCTGAAGGCACAGAGGGCACCTCCCGAGATGCAAGCGCGAGTGGGAGCAACTGCCAGGAGTTCCTGAGGTTGTCCCCTGGCAAGGAGGTGGTGAAAGAAATGTCCAGAGTGAAAAGAGAGGTTTGTTTAACCTTGGTTGAATTTCTCTGCCCGTGGAGGGATGTGGATTATATTTGACACCCCTAGGTCTTAGAATTTTACGCAGTGCTGTTCTCCAGGCTGTAAAACGTGTCTGCCAGTTTCGTGTGTGTGTGTGACAGTTGCTGCACTGGGTGCCGCCCAATTTATTTCCCAACACACTTTATCTGTATGTGTGCTAGAGAAAGGTAAAATGCCATTTTGTTGCTGAAGTAGAGTGCCTGAGAGGACTGAGAACATCTGTTTTGCTTTTCAATAGCAAGAAAAACTGTCTGAGATGGGAAGACGACAGCTGACCCTTTTTGCTGAGCACAATCGTAGTTCTGACCTTTCAGATATTTTGGAAGAGGAGGAAGAAGATGAACTGTCTTCAGAAGCTCTGGAAGAGAAGAAATGGGACCAGAGAGAGCCCTGTTACCGGGAGAATGGGGAAAAGGTAACTTGTAGCAGAGAAATGCTTGCGGGGAGCGCTAGTGCAGCCATCCCATGTCATCAGCTTACAGGAGGAGGTGCTGCTCTCAGCCCAGCACTCTCAACAGTGCTTGGCTAAGTTCCTGCCTGCTCTGCTTTTACTCCCAGTGTTGTCTTAAGCTCGTAAAAATGCAAGTTCCTTATGAGAGGGAAGGGTTTTTATGTGTAATGAATGTACCCAGAGTTTAATTAGTTGGAAAAACACACAATGTAACGTGAACTTTAGAACCCAGGGTTAAAAATCAATCCTATTGATCAAGTTCTTGATATAAACAGTGAGCACATAGGAATCTGTAAAGTCCACCCATCTGGTGACCCTGTACCAACTCACCTTCTCTCCTAAGGCAAATAGGCGTGTAATATTTTGGCCTGAACGTGAATAACTTAGTGCAGATTATTTTTGCTTAGACCTTGGTGTTCTCTGTAGGAATGATTAGCTTGTAGGATCGGAGCTGTGGCTTTGCAGGTCAGATGTTGCAAGTGAAGAGCTACTGGTTGAGCTGAACTACGAGTGATCATGTTAATTCATGCTACAGGTTCCAACAGTTAAAGCTAGTTAGTGTGTTGTTACGAATCTGCAAGAGGGAATGTGTGACTGGGAAGTGGTGTGGAATTGTACAAATTATGGCAGTTGAGATGAATGTGCATGAGGGGGAGTATTAAGGTTGAATGTCTGAGAAATTTGAAAGATTTTCAGGAAATGTGATATGCCTGTAAACAAGAAAGCTCCCTAATTTCTTTCATGGACCAAAGAGCAGCTGTAGTTCACTGATGCCGACCTGTGTGGCTGCTAGTCTGGAGCCCAGGTGGGATGGATCTGGTGAACATTAAATCAGTAGCAGACAGTGTGGTGAACCTGGAGTAAATTTGCTGCAGCTCCTTTGCCCTTTCTGAAGGGGGGTTCCGCTTCCTTGGTACAGAAGTTGGAGCTGTAGTGCAGTGTGTCAGGAGCCCCGGGAGAGCCTGGCAGGTGGAGATGCTGGGGCTACCTGGGAAGGAGTTGTTGAAAGAGCTTCCACTTGTTGGGATTGCACTGGGAAAACAAAAATGAAGAAAAAGAGTTTTCCTGGAAGGAGGAGAGAGGAAATAAGAACAGGCAAGAATGCTATTCTTTGTCTCTTTTTCCTGGATATTTTATTGGCCTGAATGTGGGTGTGTTTTGTTTGGCTTTATTTGTCCTGAAAAAAAACCACCAAACCCCCATGCACATTCTGTTCAGTTGAGCAAGCTGGTGCTTCTTGACCTGATAAAGTGATTGTTTTCCACTCTGGTAGTGACAAGTTGAGGGTGTCAGCATGGCAAGGTGCTGAATGGGGAGCAGGCATGAGGAACAGGAAGCTTTAGGGCACAGAGCTCCCAGCACTACTTTATAGACTGTGGGAAGATGGTGACTGAAGTGGGCCAGGCCTCAGCAGGGCTGTTTTCTAGGATTCTGCCTATTTAGTAACATTTTGGCTTATCTTAAGAGTCCTCAGACAACTCCTTTCAGGATTTGGGGGGTGAAAGAATGGAGGGGTGCTGCTTTTACAGTGTTTAACCTCAAGTAAGTAGTTTAATTTCTGAAACAAGTTTTTATATAAAAGGTCCCCTCCAACCTAAACCATTCTATGATAAATCTATGATATAAAAACTCAAAGGCAAAACCCTCAACTTTGTAAACAGCTAAAATAAGTCTTACTGGGCTCATTTTATGGTTGGATTTATAAATTCTGCCTACTATGAACTGGTGCTAACAAGGTAGGAGCCTAGAGTGCAGGTCTTGTAAAAAGAGTTTGAGGAAGCTGAGCTTGTTTGGTCTGGCAAAGAGGAGGCTAATGGGAGTAGCTGCCTACAACTATATCAAGGATGGTTAAAAGGATGAGATGGCCAAAGTCTTCCTGGTCATGGCAGATGATATAAAAAGAGGCAGAAGTCGTGAGTTGCTGTTTGGGAGGTTCATGTTGGAAATGAAGTACAAACCGCTTTCCCAGGAGGGGAAACCTGGTAGGCTCTTACCCAGCTGCAAGTGAAATACAGGTCTGGGACCCCTTTGAGGTAAAGGGTTTTCATGTGTATTTGAGGCGACTTGCTTCACCTGGGTTTGCAGGCAGTAAGCTGCTGTATGGCTGGACCTTGACAGATGATGGAAAGGGCCTAGGGAGGGTCCTCCTGTAGCAGCAGCTGCTGCCCAGGGTCACTTCCTTCTGTGGCAGTGTGAGGACAAAGAGGTAAGGGAGGTCTGTGGGTCCTTGTGAGAGCACAGGCTGTGAGACTCAACCCTGCGGAGGGAGGAGCCCGAACAGCTCTAACATGTAGTGAACACCCATGGAAGAACTGTGCTGCTCCTTCCCTATCATCCCAGACTGGCGGGAAATCAGGCAGGCAGGAGTGAAAGGTGCTGCAGACAGTTGTGGGTGTAGAGGCAGAGCCTGGGAGGGAGCTCTTCCATGCATTGGCCTTTCTCGCTTTCCGCTGCATTGCTAGTTCATCTGATTGTCTTTTGCCAGAAGACCCATCGCTCTTTTTTGCTTCCTGCCCTTGCTTCGCTGCAGACCACAGTTGCTGCTCCATACCGCTGTGCTGGGAGGGAATCAGCTGTAACTTTGACTATCTTTTTAATGTTTATTTCCTCTCTTTTTTTCCTTTGCTTGTCCTGGCTGTGGCTTTTCTCGGGGGCTGGGGACAGATGGATCTTTGTGATACTGACAGCGATGAGGAGATTCTGGAGAGGATACTGGAGCTCCCACTTCAGAAGAACCACAGCAAGAAATTGTTTAGCATCCCTGAAGTCACTGAGGATGAGGATGAAGATGAAGATGAGAAGTGTGTTCTGGAGGAAAAAGCAGACCCTCAAGACTCCTTGGAAACGCTTACCTACCATTCAGGAAGGACGGAAAAGCCGCTGAACAGCAAGGAGTCATTTCGAAAGGCAGATGGGAGTCATACCTCCATGGATCTGTCTGCTCAGACTCCACGGGAGGAGCATGGTGCTAAGGAGAGCAGAGGGGATGCTGACCATGCGAAACCTGCCTTTGTCCAGCTGGCCTGGAATCAGAAGAAGGCAAACTGGAACTGGGGCTACCAGGAGAACGATCCTAAGTCTGGGACTGGGGCAAGTCCCACTTGGAGCAAGAAGAAGGGAAATAATTCTCGAGAGAAGATCCGGAGTCGGCCTGAGATGGGTAGGAGGAGACAGAATGATTTAACAGAGCACTGCAGTCGTCTGCTGGGCAACTGCAGCCAGATGGGAAGCGGGTTATACAGAGCTCCTAGCCTCAGGGAAGAGCTGAACGTTGTGAGCAGTGCTGGTGGTAAGGAGGGCTATGATATGTACAGTCGTGCCAGACAAGGCACCATAAGAAAAAAACACCAGAAAGCAGTGGTTTCAGGGTTTGCAGAACGGTCTGTGTTGGCAGCACGCTGCTCCAGCCCCAGGAGCCTGGAAATAGACATTGAATATGACTCTGAAGATGATCAGGATTCAACCTGTGCGTCTCCCCCTGAGAGCAGGCTGTGGCCAGAAAGGTCCCAGAGCTTCCAGGGGGACTGGAGCGATGGCTGCAATCAGTCTGAGGTTGCCCACGTGGATGGCAGAAGGGACCTGACCAGACTGGAGATGGTGGAAGAGCAGGATGTGGAGTGGGCTGGGTCTCCCAGCCGGCCCCTGCAATCCTTCTGCCGGGAGAAGGAAGCACTGAGATGTGAGAGCAGTTCTGAGGAGCAGGGCTGGGAGCTGGACTGTAAGTCACCTGGCTGGAGAAGGAGGCTCGAACATCCTTCGAAGGGGATACGTAGCACCTCCTTGCACAAAAGGGTTGGGTGACTTTTCCTATTCTGGCTTTGAAGCAGCTTGCAGTGGCGTTAGCTTCCCTCTGCTTCCCTGGCCTGCCTGTATCTTGCTTTGTTCAGTGTTGTCCAGAGAAAGGACCCTCCTCTAGGATTGCCTGGAAGAATATCTGAGAGATTCTGTAGTTCTGTGCTGCTCCGTGGCTTTTCTTGTATTAGCTGCTTCTGCTTTTTCTGCTAACTGACCGAGTGTCACCGATGCAGTATTCCTTTTCGCACTGGGTCTTCCTCCCCACGGCAGGAGGCTGTGGGACCCAAACAAGAATCCCTGGTGAAATAAGCTGATTTGTGAAAGCTTTGTGTAGATGATGACTGTAATGTCATTGCCTCCCCTTGAAATGCCCTTTCCTGCATCCTCACGCTCACCAAGGGGATCGTCACTTGTGCCTGGCAGGCTGCCTGCCTGTACGTGGTTCTGTTTTCCAACTCCCTTGGTACTTTCAGCTCTAGAGTGTCCCTGAAGAGGAATGTTGCATTTGGATGCACTGCTCTTTGTGGAGTGCGTTTGGGCTGAGCGCTGTACACGCGAGGCGGAAGGCAGAGGCTGCTACTAACTCTCTGGTGGTTCCTGTTGCAGGCGTCCGGTAATAAAGATCCTAGGGGCCAGGAGCTGCCTGGCACAGCTGCCTGGCAGGTGCCCAATAGACGAAGGAACAGGAGTGTGAGAAGAAGCCAAATGCAGAAACCTTTGCTCTCTAGTCCAGGTGAGTGGTCAAGGAGGAGGGAGCTGGGCAGCAGGAGAGAGAGAGGCTATTGGAAATGGCAGGGGAGAGGCGAGTAGGCAGTACTTGAGCCGTGCAGGGCTCTGGCAGGTGACTGGTGCTGATGTTATCTCCGGTGTGTCCCCCATCTGTGCACAGGTCCTCCGAGGAGCACCGCTTCAGAAACCTCTGTTAAAGATGATGGCATTAGAATATTTGTGGCTCTCTTTGACTACGATCCTGTTTCTATGTCTCCTAACCCTGATGCAGCAGAAGAGGAGCTCCCATTTAAGGAGGGACAGATCCTGAAAGTAAGAGCACACCTTTGTGAACGTCTCCTACTCTGTACGGATGCTTCTGGTGCTCCAGGGACAGCATAAACCTTGGGAGACAGAGCCTCCTTCACCTTGGGAGTTTCCTTAGCTTCCCCTTCTCCTTTCTCTGTGCATCTCGGTCCCTGTAGCATAAACAGTCTCTGGCCTGTCTTTTCCCATGCAGGTGTGTGGAGACAAGGACGCTGATGGCTTTTACAGGGGTGAATGTGCAGGAAGGGAGGGGTACATTCCCTGCAACATGGTCTCAGAAGTCCAGGTGGAGAATAATGAAATCAAGAAGCAGCTCCTAAAGCAAGAGTTCCTGCCTGCTGACACACCGATGGAGAGCATAGGTACTGTTATCTCCCTTACGTTCGTGCTGTGCTATCGTCAGCATGTTCCTTTGCTGAAACGTAGGAAGCTCAGTCCTGCTGCTAAGCTGTGTGGCCAGTGCAGCCCACCAAAACAATCTCCAGGGCTGGTTCCTGAAGGCTTGTTTAGTGGCTGTTGCAGCAGCGAGCAGGGAGGTCTGCATGGATGAGGGAGGCAGGTGTTGCGAGGTCTCAGTTCATACCAGAGGATTGCAGCACAGCACTGCCCAAGGCTGGGTTTGCAGCCTCTGGAGCTGCTTCTGTGCTTGAGGTGTTGTCTGTGAACTCAGCACGGAGTGTGGAGGAGCATGATCCAAGGATCCAAGCATGATCCAAGAAGGGGAAACAAAGTTTGAAGAGCAGCTGAAGGATATGAACAAGAGTTTTCACTTCTGTGTTCTCTCCTTTGTTTTGCCAGTCTAATTGAACCCATAGGGGTCACCCTGCTCTTGGGTGAGAGAGTCTGTGACTTGGGAATGGAGGAAGATGGGGAGAGACTTGTGAGGACAGGGAAGGAAGGGTGTGAGACAGCAAGCTAGGCAGTCAGGAGGGTACAAGGAGCAGACCTGGTCCTTTGGCTCCCCCTTACTCAAACTCCGAAGTACATGGTTCAGTGCTTGATGCACTCAGAGACTTTCCTTCTTCTTCCCACTCCTGTACTTGGAGAGAGGAGGGGAACCTTCCCTGGGATGTGCAGCCATCTCCGCTCGGGCTGAGTGAGGCTGCAGGTCAGTGGCTGTGAGCTGCCCTGAGACGGCTGTGAACGTATTGGTTGCCCAGTGCCTGTCCCTTATCCCCTCCATCTCTCATCCTGCACCTCTCTGTGTACTCTCTGCTACGAGTGGCAATTGTTGACCTGCTCCACTCATTAAAACGAGGAAATTCTTGTTTGGGCTGGCTGCTGCTTCCCTACCAGTTCAGCATGGTAAAACAGCGCAGGCATGGTTCTGGTGAGTGCTCAGAGAGGCAAAGGCAAGCCCTGACAGTGACTGAGCTGTAGAAAAACAACACACAAAAGAAAAAGAAGAAAGAAAATAAGAAGAAGAATCAAACTTGGTTCCGTTTTCTCTGCCGTGAGATGCAGTATCCAGCCCTAGAGGCTAAGGGGCTCCTGAATATTTGTCTCTGGAAGGTTGATCCTGAGGAGCACAGGGGTCGAAGGAGCCTGTTGCTTTCACTTCGTGGCTATGTGATTTTTTTGCTAGGGGTGTGTCCTTTGGCCTCTCTCATGTCTAGGGAGAGGAGAGACTTGAGTAAGGGACTTTTCACACTTGGAACATGGATAGTGTTCCTCCTCTGTATATCCTTGGGTGCCCAGAGATGGGCAGATGCCTGTGGTGGCCTTTCTCCATGTGTGGGTAACTCAGGGAGCTCTGTCCCCTGCCCTGCTGTGTACTCTTGGAAGAACAAAGGCAGTTAATAGCTCTAAGACTTCATGAAACGTGGTGTGTTTGAAAGTTTTCAGGAGGGTGTTGGTAGTGAAAAAGGCCGTATGCATGCATGCAGGGAGTAAACCTTGTTTTCTCAGGCAGCCAGGCTGTATGCACCTCTGTAGTTTTCCTGCTGTCATAAACCCATGTTACAGCCTTGTAAATAAGGAAATGCCTGAGGGGGGTTGGTCTGGGAGCTCCTGCAGGCTCGTAGGGATGTACTGACCCTGTTCAGTGCAGAAGCTTTAGTTAGAGACCTCCCAAGGTCCCTTCCTACCTCAGTGAGGTGGTGGGGTGCACCTCACCTGGCATTTTTCAAGTGTTAATGGTACACGGTTTTATTTTTTCTTTATGTTGCTGCTTCTGAAAGATGAAATGCAGCAAGGTTTGTCTGATGTGCACTGTGGTACGGCTAATGAGCATAAACACAATGTGGATTTCTGTGTGTATTTGGGATGGGGATCATGCCTCATCTGAGTCCACATACGTATGAGAAATGGAGATTTGGGCTTTGCCCGTAGAAATCACGGTGTCTGCTTCCCAGGGGAGGCATGTCCTGCTACTCTGTTGCCTGTTCACTCTTCAAGATGCTTTTCACTTTCCATTCACTGTCTGTCTCTCTTGTCTATTTATTTGCTTTTTTGGATTTTTATTAAGGAAATGGCACATTTTCTCCACCTCCACGCCGCCAAACCGTCCCTCCTCCAAAACCCAGACGCTCCAAGAAAGGTCTGTGTCATCCACTGCTTCCTCTTTGATTTTTGCAATAGGATTACAGACTGCATTGAATTTTTACTACTTGCTTACAGGACCCTCAGATGTTTGTCTCTGTACGGCTGCTAGGAAGTGGAAAGAGAGCCCATCCCTGTGCTGGTGTTAAGTTTTTAACAACAGTGATGTCTTTTATAGTTTTGGAGCCTGACCTCTGCTACCTGTTACGTCCCTGAGTCCTGGTTACTGGCATAGACTTTGAGTTGCATGAGCAGTTGGCTTCTGTTGTTTGCTGCTTTGGTCTTTGTTCTTCCTGTTGTTGATTGTCAGCTGTGTTGTGTGGTCACTGTTGAAAGATCAATACCCACTGATGACACATTTTCTTTCCCCAGCAGGGCTGGATAAACAGGAGAAGTACAAGTCTCATCCAGGTGAGAAATGCTCTTTCTTACTGTGGGGGTTGTGATTGTAATACAGATGCATTTTGCAGTCAGGGGCCAATGCAAGACCCTGTAGTGCTGCTTCACAGCACTGTAAGAAAATGGTCATTCTCATGAAAGAAGAGTTTTAGTTCTTTTTATTTTAGTCATGGGTACAGTGGCCTTTTATTAAACAGGGATTGTTGGCAGGGGAGGGGCATGCATGGTTGTGCTTTGGTGGAGCAAGGAAATCTCTTACTCATCTGATGCCACAGTCCTTAAAATGCAAGGTCCCTTGAGAAGGCACGCACTCTGCTTAGGTGCACAGTCATCTGCTGATGGCCAGAGAGGCCAGGCCTGCAGACCCCTTGGTAGCCCATCCAGTGTTGACCTGAAGCAGAGTTTAAATCCCTAAGATGAAGGGGTGGACGACGTGTGTTTTCTGTAACACCAGACTTTGCTTTTGTAGACGCAGAGCAGGTTTGTAAGTAACAGGCAGCTGGTTGTGAAAGTGCAGCATGTTCCTTGGATGATGAGCCCTGTGTGCTGAGCTCTGTGCTGCTCTTGCTGGGCAGCCGGTCGATGCTGTCCAGGGCTTTCGCTCCTTGATGCTTGGAGGATAAATTTTGTAGCTCAGTAGCAAAGCATTGCATGGAGGTAGGAGAAATGTGCATTCGAGACACTGTGAAAAGACTGCTGTCCTCTGTGGTGTGTGTATATGTAGACACACACGTATATATGTGTGTGTGTATAATTAGAAAACATAGTGTGAAACATTCCTGCGTACATGGGCAGGACACAAGAATGCTGGAATGGGGAGATGTCCCTGCTTTTGGGCTTGTGAGGTGATACAGATCAGAAATCTGCTTTACCAAGTGTCTCTAGGACCTCTCTCTCCCATTCAGTTTTCCCCCCAGTATTCTTTTTGCTCAGTCTACTCCGAGAATGGTGAAGGAGTTACTGTGATTTGAGATTTTTGTCTTAGAACTTCCAGCTCAGGGTATTTTGCTTTATTTTTGTCCTGCAGGCCAGACACATCAGGACTTTGAAGCAGAACTGCTGACTTCTCGAAGTATGGTGGCTGTCTTCGACTATAACCCTAAGGAGAGCTCTCCAAATGCAGACGTAGAGGTAACAACCAGCTGCTTTCTCCTCTTCCAGGCCTCTTTTTTCCTCTCTTTTTTTCCTTCTATCCCAAGACACTTAGCACTTTGATCAAAACCAAGATGATTGTAGCTTGGCAATACAACTGCTAAAAGGGGTTGGCTGAAGTCATAAAATGCAGTCTGTGATATGTTCTCTCATGCATCCTCTGTTAACAATGTTCAGTTATCTGTGAAGAATATGAAGTGACATCCCCCTAATGATTTTCAGTATGTCTCAGTGAAACTATGTAAGCATCTCGTGGCCTTGTAGCGTCCTCTAGTGCTCAGACCGGATTTAGCAGTTCTGGGACAGGAGGAAGCAGGCAGAAGTTGCTGTTAGCAACTGATCCACGGCACCTTCTGGCAAAAGGTACAACCTGCTTAAGAGTTTGAATGCACTTCTGATAGTTTGGGTGAGCGTGTCTTTTGTGTTAACAATCTCTGTAGGTCTTTGTTCAAGCTACACAACTTGGCTCCAATTTAATGGACCAGTCCTCTTTTCAAGCAGTCCCTACATATGATCCAAATAGGGGTTTTTTTGTGGATGTCTGTTTCAGGAGGAAAGATTACAATTCAAAATACTTCCTGCAAAAACCTTTCCTGAATTAGAACATGCTTTGTTGCTCCATAGCAGTGTTAGTCTACTCTGAGCAAACATAATGGGGTTTGGGTTCGGATTCTTTCCATGCATCCAGAAAGGAGTGTATGGCCACGAGGTGGCACAATTCAGCTAATGCTTGCCTCCCAAACTGAGTGTCTCGTGAGAAAAACAGCCTGCTTCTGAGGAGAGTGGTTTAGGAATGGTGGGTTATCTTGGAAGAGACACAATGAGAGCATGTAACAACCAGCATCCATACAGGTATCCATACAGCCAGCCAGGGAACACTTTTGAGCCCTTGTCAACAAGATGTTGAGTTCATTTTTGCAGTTAATTGGTCTTCTACAACCTTCTCTGTTTCAATAATTTGAGCTCTGTCCATAGGCTGGTGCAGTTTTTGCACTGTTGGACATGTTCCCTGTCCATGCTCCCGGAATATTTGGTCACCTTTTTTACTAGAAGGTTGCAGCTGCTGCTTGTTGACTTGCACCAGGATCAGCTGTGCTGTTCTGTGTGTCTGTGAGTGAAGTTCCCTACAAGTGTCTGTCTGCTAGAGGAAAGTAATTCACACCCAGCAGTAGGAACCTGCAGTCTCCAGAGACAAATTGAGTCCTAGGGATATCATGAGTAAATACATTAGTGCTAGGTGCCTTCCAGCTAACACTTCTGTGAAGTGCATATAAAGCTGGTGTGTCTTGAGTGGGACAGAGCCTGTTTGGAGACTCCACCTTTTCTGTCTTAGAGCAGCTTGTTTTGTTGTGTCTGGGCAGTTTCTTCCATTAGAAGAGACGCCTTACACCCTTTGTCTTCGGTCTTTGCTCCATGGAGTGTGTGCTGGGGTGGCTGACAGGACAGGCAGATCTGATGGTGAAGGGTCATGTGTGTCCTGTGGTAAGGTCTGTTTCCAGGTCAAACCTTCCATTTTTTTTCTAATCTCTGAGCGTTGCGTACAGAACAGGCTCATCCAAGGGAGCGGGATTTTGTATTTAAAGAAATGAAAGGTATTTCTGGTGCTTGCTCAGCTTGTTCTCAACATACCCTTCCAGAACAGGTGGTAGGTATTATTTTAAAGCCTCATTAAAATTGGTTTAAGAAACAAGCTTTGCTCTTGTCTTAATTTATAAAATGCTTCCTTAGCACTGAATTCCACAGTTACCCACATCAGTTGCTCTTCTGCATCCTGGTCCTGCAAGTCTTAACACTGTGGCCTCCCTCCCTCAAGGTGACATTGTGCAAGAAGCTCAGTGTGACCCTGTGTCTGGGGAGAAATTCCAGGCGGTGCTTCTCCTGTGACCATTGTTCTCTTCCTATTTGCAGGCTGAACTGACTTTCAGCGCCGGGGACATCATCACTGTGTTTGGCTCCATGGACGATGATGGATTCTATTATGTGAGTACAGCGTTTGGGAAGGTCCTGTGGCTAAATGTGAAATCATTGGAGCCCATCTAATGGTGGGAGAGCAGAAATCAGGGAAGAAAAGATTCTGCTTTTGGAAAAAAATAAACCCATATCTGCTTAGCACAGGGCAGGTTGTTTCTGGCAGTCCATGCCCTTCCTGTAAACCCCATATCCAAATGGTTCTGAGCTTATTTCTCAGCATAACTTTACTGCAGGTTTCCCAAAGCCTAGGATGTATTTTTGTGCACATACATCAGCTGAATCAGCATCTGCTATAAGCTGATCTGTCCCCAAGCACTCAGACACATGGTCTCATCCAGAGCAGGAGGCTAAAATGGTGACATAAGAGTGACTCCCATCTGGCCACACTTCAACGTATCAACTTCAATGAGCACTGGTATGTGTTAACTTACTGTGCCTACCTGAGGACTCTGCCTGCCAACAAGCTGTGTGCTAGATGTGATCCTTGGCCCTTGGGACATCCACCTTTTCCCTCACAGAAAGCAGTGTGTCTTCACACATTAAAGTTGAGGTTCATCTCCAGGTAAAGTCTGGAGGGATCACTGTAAATGTTTTGCTTGTCTTCTTTTAAAGTGCTGGCCATACAACATTGCTGGGGTCGCTTTTGTCTCACTCAACCACCAGCTGTTGAACTGGAGACAATTTTTTAGGAATACAGCCAAGCTTGGTTTGCAGCTCTGGACCTCAGTGAGCATTGAGGCAATGCCTACAGGACATTGTACCAGGAGTACCTCGTTCTGTAAAAAAATAAATAAACACCAGAGCAAGTCAGAGCCCTTTAGAAAGCCTGTGGCACCGTCATATTCCAGTTGCTTTCAGGATAGCAGCAGAAGTTTTTTGAGTCTGTAGAAATGACCATGTTGCTGGAATACATTGGTCACAGCTTGCTGCCATCTTTTTTTTCTCTCTTCTGTATTCTTGCGCTGTAAATTGTTCTACAACTAAGCAAGAATGTGAGACATGAAATTTGCTGAGGATCCTTCCAACGTGTGTGTACTGGGACTTCTCTCAGGCCGTAGCTGAGCCTTCTCAGCAGGAGACTGCCTCACTATTTATTATTACTTCATCAGCCACGAAACCTGATGCAAGTACTGTTCATCTTGCAGGGAGAGCTGAATGAACAGAGAGGTCTTGTTCCGTCTAACTTCTTGGAAGCTGTCCCTTCTGATGGAGGCACGGTTGAGGAACGTCATTCAAAAGATAAAGAGGCTTTTCCGCTGAGTCCCGAGAGCCAGGTAAGGTCGTGTGACACTGCGTTGTACAGACATCCAAACTGTGATGTGGCTGGAGATTGGGCATTGCACAGCATGCAGCATCTGACGGAATCATTTATATTATTGCATGCAGCTCAGTTCATCCCATGGGAGATGCTCAGAAATTTATGGAGGGGTGCTTGGAGCTCTTCTTGAAGACTTTAGTGCAAGAAGAGGCATAAAGCAACAACACCCACTGGGGCCTCAGTCGTGTGAGCAAAGAGCATCCCAGGTCCCACCAGCAAATTCTTTAGCTCCACAAAAGGGTCAGTGGTAAAATCTTGCTGTAAGCAAAGCAGTTCAGCCAGCTCCCCAGACACGTGAAATTCCTCAGATATGCTCCTATCCATGCCAAAGGGTCCTGGAGTTATGAACACCTGAGCACCAATGCTGTTCCACCCATCCTGAGTTAGATATATCTTAATTCAGTCCAAGGTGCTTTCAGACAAATTCAAAACACACTGAGAAGTTTCCCAAACAGATCTCTGGGATGGATCCTAACGATTTGAGGGCCACCCACAAATGCAGGGAATTCAAAGGTCGAGCTAACCCCTTGCATTATGTTGCTGATACTCTTGAAACAAATGCTTAAACAGGAGATTTGGGCCATCTGCCAGATGCAGTCTCACCTCAGTGAGTAAGGCAAAAGTGTGGCACCTCCTTGGTCACTCCTGAACCTCATGGGCTGTGTCATTCTAGGGAAGCGGGGAGGTACACAGCTTGTTCCCAACTCACATGTACTCAACCTTCAATTCTTCTTGGGAGGTTATTGGCACTGTCAAGTGGTGCCAGACCAATAAAAGTGTGCAAGAGCAAGCCCAGATTGGTTTTGAGCTAGTCCTTAAGGAAGTACGTGGCCCTGAATCCTCCTCTGTAGAACTCTCCACTGCTGCTACCCTAGCTTTCCTGCCCTCTACAGCATTCCTTGTCCTATTTTTCATGCTGAGCTCTGTATCCACTTCCCATCTCTATCTTCAAATGCTGCATAATCCCCCTTAGGCTTCACCTGCAGCCCCATCTCTTGCTTCCAGGCATTTCAAGCTTAGTGGGTACAGCATCTACAATACAGCCTCCATGCCTTCTTATGAAGAGCAAGTGGCAGGCCTGACTCAGAGAGGTTGGTTGTCAGCTTGCTGCATCATCTTCTAAACTCAGGAGTTGTCTGGGGCCCTTGTGCTTACCTGTTTAGGATACTTGTTCCCTTTTCTTCCAGCCCATAAGTTCTGGCCCATGCTGGGGAATCAGGTTATTAAGCTGTTACTGCCAGGTTTTAAGAGCCCTGAGGTTACACAAATCTAGTGGGGGAAGCAAGCATTCAGAGCAAGTTTCTTCCTTCAGTTTCCCTCTCAAAATGGTTGACTCTTCCCAAATGACTGCTCTGTTGGAATATAGGGTGCCAAAGGAGACCTGCTCCAGTAAAATTAAAACAGGTTGAATTCATAGCGTAGCTTATTACAGATCTAACCCTCCCCTCTGGCATCAACCAGCAGCAGCAAGGGCTTGTTTCAGATGGCAGGGGTCATTATTCCAGCCCCAGCCTGAGTCCTCCCAGAAACTATAGGAAAATCAGGTAACCTTTAGGGCTGGGGTAGCTGATCTGCCACTTGCAGATGTGGAGGGTTTGGCTTAACTAATGGTGTTTTGTTAAAGGTGGGTAAGAGAGAGCAACTTGGCTGGTAAACAAGGTAACACACAAACAAGTCTGCCCTTACTTCAGGTACTCCTGTTTGCATCCCTCTCTTGTATTTTACTGGTGAGGAGACTGGGACACTGGTTTGGCCTGCCATGAAGCAGGCTTTGTCATGGACCTCACAGGGTAACAAGGTCCTGCCTCTCTGCTGCTGAGCAGGCAGCACGAGCTGCTCCTGCTTGCTGCTGCTCCACTTTCCTCTTCCCTTTCCACTGGTGCTGTGTTCAGCAGTGGGTGACTTTTCCTCTGGACACAGCAGTTTGGCCCAGATATCCCTGCGTGTTCAAGACTATAAGCTTTTTTCCTATGGTTCATGACACCTTTGGGGTTTCTTTTAACAGACATGCCTTTCAAATGTGATAAAGACAACCCGTATAAAACAGATGTGTTTCAGGCTTGCCTCCCTCAGACCTTTCCATTTGTGTCCACTACCCTCTGCCAGAGATCCAACGGAGCTTCCCTTTGCCTTGGCTCTGACTTTGGGTCTGCAGGGCAGGAAGATTTTGCCTTAGGGGCAGGATCAATTTGCTAGTTTTGGTACTCACCTGATCCGTGAGCTGCTATTCTTCATAGTCTGAAGCCTGGGGACTTGGAAAATTCAGTTGATGATGATTAAGCCAATTCTATTTCAGTGAGAATGCACATTAACTATCTAGGCATGACTTTGTGCTGTACACTTTCTGTGTAGTTACAGACTGTCTCCTGTCCTGCTGCCTCCCTGCTTCCCCAGGATACCTGCCCTGGGTGATTCTGGCTTAGCACTCTCTAACTATGTGCAGTCCTGCCTCCTGCTTGTGCTTTGCAATCCAGATCTGTCTAAATAGTTTCCAGATATGAAGGGCATGTCTGCTCCCTTTTAAAAGCGGCACATGTACCTCATAACCAAGCCTGTATTAGTTAACTACATTTAAGTATGTTTAGTGGCCACCGTGGAGAGGCAGAACCTGAGCCCGCTGAGTTTTGGCTCTGTCATAGCAGTTGCAGCATCCCTGCCTATGGGCAGGACACCTCATGGGTAAGGCAGAAGGAATAGCTCCTCCTGTAAAACATAGATATTCTAAGGGCCATCCCTGAGCTGGAATGAACTCTGAAGCGTGTTGCTGACATACACAGCGCAGACACAAGCGCCTTTCTGCTGCTGTTTGGGTTGGGGGGAGTGGGGATGATGCAAAAAAATCACCTAAGGCGAAAGGTGCATGGCAGCCTCTGGAGAAGTACTGTTTGAATCTTCTGAAAGACAGCATGGCAGAACAGACTCCCACCAAATTTACCAGTCCCAGCTTGAGACCTGACACGTCCGGGAGCATGTGTGTGCACCGTGGTACCATGGCAGAGCTTTGGACTTGTATTACAGCTAGTTCCAATCTTAACAGGAGCTTCTCCAGCATGATCATGAGTGATTCTTAAATTGTTCTAACTTCTTGGATTCGATGTTTCCATTCTGCCTGTTCTTCACACTTCCCTTCTCCCTGCTGCGGTGCCAAAGGCCTGAGAAATAAGGACAATTTAGTTTCCAAACTGAACTGGAGAAGTGGATCATTTTGAATTACTTCTGAGTAAATCTTAAATGCTGACAACTGAAAAAGGTGAAGCAGTTTAACCTTCACACTGGCAACATTTGGGGAAGAGACTAAGCAATAAAAACTATGGCACAAAGAGGAGTATCCAAGAAGTTATGACCGTAAGCTAGGGCCCTGAAACACTCATGCTCATCAACTTAGAGCAGTTACTTGAATGCTGTGGCTGTCAAATGAGTATTTCTGCATCAGTAGTATGCGGTTTCTGTCAAAGACTGATTGTAAAGCACCTTCAGAAAGTGTTCTGTTCTAATTGATTTCATGTATTTATTTCTGCATTCTGTATTGTGCACCCATGACGGTTCTTTTCTTCAGAGAATGAGGAAGAGAAGAGTCCAGTGATAGATATGAGTGATACATAGAGAAAGCAACCATGTAAGTTTGTGTGAGAAGATCTCTTCAATCTCCCACCCAGCCTAGCATATTAAAGGGTCCTACACCTGCAGTTTACTCCTTTTCTTGCCTGAAGTTTGACAGGCTGGTTTGGGGCTCTGCTAGCAAGTCCAGTGTCAAATCCTCTGGTGGCAGACCTTTACCTGCCAGATAAAGACAATTCAGCATATGAAGTTCAATTGTTTGAAACAATTATCTGGTGGTTGATGGGACTGTGCTGGATATTCAGGTTTAGAAAAGACCTGCTTTCTGATTCAGCCTGGCCCTTCTAACCACTGTTCAAGCATATCGACAGCCAAAACTTCATTTAGCCTTTGCAAGATGCTGCTCAGGCTGAGCACAGCCCATATTCAGCCTGTAGTTTTTTCATCTTGATTTTACTCCTTCCTGAGTATAGTCCTGAACCTAACGTAGTACCATTTAGTCCCTGAAACCAACTTGTGTGAATAATTGTTCTGTCTGATGACACTTAAAGAAACTATTCTGGGGATGGGGTGTGAGACCTTTGGGTCTGGGGGGCAGTTGGAGCAGATACGTGTTTTTGCTGAGTTTTGAACGTTGTTTATCTGAAATTGTGCAAATCAGTAATACCTGAGAGCACTGATACTGATATAATGACAATATAATTACCTTGATACTGTGTTACCCTTGTTACAGTAAATAATGGTGACATTTTGAGTTGGTCTGGGTACCTGCTTCTCATTTCACATGCCGTCTTTCATGCCTGGCTCTACAGGAGAAAATGTATAACGTTTGTTGGGCCACTTCAGATCTGCCCTAAAACTGTCCCACCTTTGCCAGTAACTTGGTTTCTGGTGGTACATGGGCACCGAGCCTCCGCTGTCCTGACTGCACAGGGGCCTTCACATTGCTTCCCCATCCTTTGGGGCTGCTGAGCCCCAAAAGAGAGAGGAGAGAAGCTCCTCTCCTTCACAGAGGAGATCACTCACTGCATGAGACTCCTTCTCATGTTAGCCCAGTGCTTTTGTGCATTTTATCCAAGGATTCTTCATTGCATAAATAGCTTCTGGAGCAGAACCCAGGGATTCTTAACTTTTGCACACAGCTAACCAGGTAGGCTACCAAGTTAGCCCTCACCTGGCTTACTTTATCCTTTTGCCTCCATAAATCTTCCATTACTAGCTGAAAAAGGGTTCAAGGAATTTTGGAATCATAGAATCACAGACTGGTTTGGGTTGGAAGGGACCTTAAAGATCATCTAGTTCCAACCCCCACGCCATGGGCAGGGACACCTTCCACCAGACCAGGCGGCTCAAAGCCTCATCCAGCCTGGCCTTGAACACTTCCAGGGATGGGGCATCCACAGCTTCTCTGGGCAACCTGTGCCAGTGCCTCACC